TATTATGGTAATAACCATTAACAGCATATGGCAACTGCGTATAACTAGCTCTATCAGACGTTTTTGTTTTACAGTACAGATCGGTTATTATTATATTAATATGTATGCTAAAAAGCTAAAATAATGGAAAATGGCAGCCATTTTAAATTGTAATAGCTCAAAAATGTGTACAATATTTAGTTAGCTGTCATTGTTATGAGTGAATTTCCAATTGAATGCTGCATTTGAATGACATAGACTTACAATATTAGTGACAATTTTAGGAAAAGATGGCGGCCATTTTGAAACTGCTGGCAAGCCCCCTTACGTATGAAAAAAAAAAAAATGTTGCACATACTTTTTTTATTTATCAATGTCTACTCTACATCATATGCAATTTTAAAAAAATATAGCAAAAAAATGCAACCTCTGATATTGCTACATTTCGGACTGGACTATAAACAAGGAACATCAACCTTAAACAATATCTCAATAAACTATACTATATAAATCCAACATTACCAACAAGCGCTAGAATTATAATTACAACAATCATCTTATAGCACCCTGAGTACCAATACTGATTAGGACTAAATCAACTTATAACTATAAATCCAATCAATCGTGAAGACTGATATCTGACGTGATTCTTCCATTGACGCATGTCATTTAGTCATATATACTATTAGTAATTGTTAAACATCGCCATGTACATTCACACATACTACTAGCAGTATTATAATAACAATGTCTGAATCTAATACTCATAATACCGCCACTCTACAGTATCAATCTTGGGTAGGCCGAATTGACATAAGCTCTTAATTATGATCCTGGTCAGAGCCTAATCGCACGTTTCCCGTTCATAGTGTAGTAGGCCCACCTACACACAACGCACATCGGCCTCACCGTGTATGACAGTAATACCTAGCTAGGTCTAGGCCTAGGCCTATAATGGAGAGATCCCACCGCTTGTTATTGTAAACCAATTATCATCACTGCCCTACAAATTACTCGGCGCTAATGCACTTTTGTACTGTAACATCTACTACATCAGTGAATAAACTTCAACATACCAAGACCAAACCAGAGGTAAAGAAAACCCAACGTACATGCTATAGATGTGGCTCCAAACAGCACTTGGCAAATGCATGCAGACATAAAGCTTCAACATACAATTTCTGTAAGAAAACGGGTCATTTGGAAACAGTATGCCAACAAAAGAAGAAATCTACTACCATGACGAAAATTATAATTAATTCTGTCAATCAGGTAACCATGCAGCAGATTTACAGTGATGTGTACATTGGCGATAAAATGTACAAATTTGAAATTGATACAGGTGCAGGGGACAATTTCATGTGTAAGGAAGTATGGGCAGACTTGAGCAAAAACCACAGTTGTCCAAACTTGATGCTAAATACCTCTCAGCATCAGGCCATAATCTTCCTGTCCTCGGCATGTTCTCTACTGTAGTGAAGAACAGCAGTAATCAATCAGAAATTATTCGTTTCGTAGTGTCAGAAATTCCCGGACTTAATCTTCTGGGCAGAGAAGCTATCTGAAAGCTTGGAATTTCAGTAGATGCTCTATTGGCAATGGATAACAAGCCTATGGATCACCCAGTACATACTATTCACAGCCCTGATTCTGATCCAGATGAATCACTTCAGAATGCTTGCATACAGATGTGCGATGAATTTTCAGATCTATTCAAACCATAGTTAGGTTGCTTGAAAGAGGTGGAACTGGAAGTAAAATTCAAAGAGAATTCAACGCCAGTTTTTCGTAAGGCGCGTCCAGTGCCTTTCGCTATACAACATGGCTTGGCTCAAGCCTATAAGGCAGGAATAACGAGAGGTATCTGGACACCTGTTAAGTTTAATGCATATGGTACACCTGTGGTCCCAGTGCGCAAGGATAATAAATTAAGAGTTTGTGGTGACTACTCGGCTACAGGGAATCCACAGTTAGAGGATCATCGCCATCCGCTACCTTTGCCAGAAGACCTAATACGTAAATTGTCTGGAGGCCATGGATTCACTAAAATTGATTTAGCAGATGCTTACAACCAGATTCGGTTGGGTACTGAAAGTCAAAAACGACTGGCACTTAATACTCACCAAGGAGATCTCCTCCAGGCGCGCCTACCT